CGCGATTATTTTGAATAGACAATAAGAAATAAAATTGAGAAAAATTGGAAGTGAGGAAAGTATCGACTGGCATTAAAATTTGTTAAAATCATTTCACAGTTCTCCATTGTCTTTCTTGAAATATTGAAATTCTGAAGTCCTGAAGTTTTGAAGTTCCGAAGTTCTGAGATTTTGAAGTTTTATCATTCTCAGATTCTGAAGATCCGAAATTCTCAGATTCTCAGATTCTGAAGTTGCGGAATTCTCAGATTGCGAATTCTGGAATTCCAAAGTTCTGAAATCCTAAGAATTCTGTAGTTCTGAAATTCTGAGATTTTGAAGTTCTGAAATTCTGAGATTTCGAAGTTCTGAAATTCTAAGATTTCGAAGTTCTGAAATTCGGAAATTCTCAGATTCTGAAGTTCCGAAATTTTCAGATTCTCAGACTCTGAAGTTCCGAAATTCTCAGATTCCGAATTCTAAGATTTTCAAGCTTGAAATTCAGGAATTCAGAAACTTCGTCAAAAAATTGTACCCCCCGAATCACAAACGTTGTACCCCTACATGAAATAAGTTGTACCCACGAATTTTGTACCCCCGAATCACCAATTTTGTACCCCTAAAGCAGTTGTACCTCCTTGTACCCCCGAATCATTGTACCCCCGAATTTTTTGCTTTGATTTTCGGTGAGTCATGATGATCATTGTATCATAAAATGTATAATTTTCAGTTTTTCGGAACCCAGGAGCTTTAATGTTCATCCTATAGCTTCTTATCAACCTTCTGAAAAAGAATCTGCAATCCAATCTATTCAAAACTACTTTATCGACTTTTTCGGAAATTCGGTGGATGTTGACAGCAGATCCTCAGTCAGTCGAGACCGATCCTATGTCCTGACCCGAGAGTGCTCGCGCGCCTGTAGCGCGCCCTAAAAACCTGAAAGTGTGTATGAGATAAGCGGTGCAAATACAAAACAGTACACAAAGTATCATTGACCCATTTATTAGAGAGAAAAGGATGGGGCCAAGACAAACGGTAAAGACAATCAAAGGGGAAATACCAGCAAGAACAGAAAAAGGGGGGGGGGGGGAATAATGGTGTAGGGCTAAAACCTGTCGGCGGAGCCGCCAGGAAACCTTGCGGACCCACGAAACTGGAGCTGGTCAAAACTCTGATAGCCAAACGTACAAAAAGGGGGAAAATCTGGAAGTAAAATTGCCTAAAAAGTCCTTGGTGCTACCGGCGGCAAAGCGGTGCCCGGACGCAATAGACGGCAGCGCGCGCGGAGAGTGCGCGGCGCCTGTCGGCTGGCGTCGCGGGTCTCGCCACGCGGGTGCGCCTTCAAAAGGGTAAAAGGAGTGGTAATTCAAATATGAATATTCGCATTGAATGAATGCGAGAAAGAATAATTTCACAGAATAATATCGGAACTAAGGGAAAATAGTGAATGAATAATGAAAGCAAGTAATTCAGGGGGATTTTGCGGGGAAAATCGGTAGACCCTGAGTTACTCTGCTTTCAGGTTGACAATTATCTGCGGGGAACCCGGATTTTTGTCAACAGTGGAATATAATTGGCAATCATATGACTTCAAATTTCGTCAAGAGCTTTTTATTCCTTTCATTCCGCCACTCCAAAATGTATCTTTTTGTGTTCATTTACGCCTTTTTCCGGATAATTTCAGAACCGCACAATTTTTGCACAAGGAACAAGCTGAAAACTTTTTCTCCTCCTCCCCTGTGTCGAAATCGATTAATATGGACGTCGTGCTTTTCACAGAATCATTCAATACAGATTCCAAGTTCTATCAGGCAGAATCTATTGAAATCACCCAAGACCTAATCACTGCTTCTGCAATTTTACGCCATTTTCAAGGAAGACAGGTTGTCATAGAATGCTATAATCACAAAACTTCGCACTTGATTGAGTTTGTGAATAAATGGAAATCAGGAGAAGCATCGCAAAAGCTATAGTACTTGGAAATGAAAATGAATAAAACCCCCGATAACCGATTTCTGGATGCCATTGGATTAAAACATATAGATAAAACAAAACAACCACCAACACACACTCTACCGAAAACGTAAGTTGTTTATTTTTTTGATTGGAATAGCTTTAAAACAACCAATTATTTTTCAGATACAATATGCATTTTAAACACGCTAAGCCCAATACGGATCCAATCACCAGCCACACATACGTCGTTAGAGCAACTGATAATCGTGTAGCATCTATTATGATTCAAAGGAAGAAACTCTGGTTTGGAGTATGGGACAAAACAGAGGAAGAGTTTTTGAGAATGATGGATTAATTGTTAATTAAGAAGTTTTCCGATTATCAGCTCTTGAACTATTAAAGGGGGACTCCGACCAAAAATTTTTATTGCATCAAAATGTGTTAAAATTTATCTATTTTTCGAATATTATTGCGAAAAAATTCAAAGAAAATCCGAAATCCCCGAAAAACGGCGTTGAAAAGGAAGAAAATTCAAAAAAAGGTGCCGCCGGGGAACGAGGATTTTCAGCGAGAAACCTAGGGCACGGCACCTGACAGCCTTTTTTTCCAGTCACCGACAGGGGGTTTTTTACGTTTTTACCTGGCG